ACGTCGGAATGGCACCGTGGAGCTTCTTATTCGTTGGAAGGGCTATGATCCTTCTGAGGACAGCTAAGTCTCTGAAACCGACATGGGTAACGCCCGTCGTCCTCTGCATGACTACCTTGTCAAGCAGGGTGTTACTTCCACCACCCGGCTTTGAGGGGGGGAAGTGTGAGAGTACGACCCCGTTACACCACTTGTCCTATTCTTATCTCCTTCCTATTTCATTCTTCTTTTTATCTCATCTCATTTGGTTTCCTATTCTCCATTCTTCCATTATCCTTTGGTTGATCCTGCTATTATAATTATATCACCGACCAGGCTTGGGATGTACTGGCACATTATCCAGCGTAATCCTGCCGTAATCCCTTAAAGCCAATGGCCTCGCGTGGCTATACGCAGGGTGATTCTATATTCTAGAAGGGTCTATTCCTCTGGATAGGATAAACCTGGTTACCTGATGTACTCTGGAAGTATAAAAGCACATTGTACTGATCGATAGTGCAATCGATCCTCGAGTCATTCGATCCTGTGACAGTACCTGCCGGCACTCCTGCTGCTGCTGCTTGTTGATGTTGCCGATGCCACTGATGTCGATGCCGCTATTGATGTTGCCGGTGCTGCTGCTGTTGACACTGTTGCTACTGAGCCAACTGCTGGAGACTTGCCAGGCCCTTTCACACAAAGTTGTCAACGCCCGTCGCCTCCTCCGTGGAGTCGGTCTCATCAGGGGCAGCAAACTCATCGCCCTCGTCGTCGGAGGCGGCATCAGCATTAGCCCCCTCCTTGTCCTCCCAGTTGCCAATGGCGTCGAGGGGGTTGATCCACTCCTCTACGTCCCCGGCGGCATGGACGTCGTCGTGGACCTTGACCTGGGCCGCATCTCGCATGTGCAGGCATGTGATGGAGACCGCATGCACAGGCAGAAAACGAGCTTACTGCCCTTCGTTAATTTCTGTCGGATCTTCGTTTTCACTCTGATGGTGAGGCCCCAGCAGGCCCTGAAGCAGAATCTCCACCACGGCGAAGCCCTCCAGTCTACTCCGGGGTGGAGGTTTCGCATGTAGGTGCGACTCCATTCCTGCAAGAGTGAGATGGGGACCGCAAGTCCACGGTTGCGGTAGTAAAGAAGGTGCTTGTAAACCACGAGTTCCATATCAGGGTATTTTGCCTGACGCCCACAGCTCGTAAGACGGCGCCTGCAGCCAGCAGCTGCGGCGATCTGCTTCTCCAACTTCTTCCGCCATCCGATACCAACTGGCTTAATGCCGACCATGCGAGCGGTGGCACGTATGGAAAGCTTCTCCTTCCGCAACTTCACCAGCCACGAGAGCTTCTCCGGCATCGTCCGTGAGGTGCGCCGATGTTTGGTGGCGTGGTGACGGTACTTGGTCATGGTTTCGCTGTGAGGCCGCTCCTCCAACACGTCATCGTAGACGACACATGCGGGGAATCAGGGAAGAGGATAACCAAGGGGATGAGAAGCCTTGCTTTCGTAATCGGAATCGGGATCAGAGGGGGGACGCCAGGCTCGGAGGTGTTGTCGAGCATGGTGTCGAAGCCTACAAGCACCACAGGAGGTGCAGGCGGCGCTGGAGGAGCAAGCAGTGCCGGGGGCGCAGAAGGGGCAGGCGGTGCCGGCGGAGCGGGAGGAGAGGGCGGGGCAGGAGAAGCTGCAGGACTTGCATACAAACGTGGAGGTCTAGCGGAACGCATCCGTATAAGCATTTCGAGGGCCGACATGGTGCACGCACAGAACGACAGAACGACTAGGTTTCCTAGGAGAGGGAGACATGCCCTCTCCAGATACAGTAACACATTTATGCTTTTCAACATAGGTTGAAAAGTGAAAATGAAGCATAGTCGTCACGACTACCCCCTCTGAGAAGACGGGGAGGGGGGGGACGTGAGGCTGGTGACGCCAGCGGCACCAAGACCTCCTTGTCTTGCTGGCAACAGTGCTGGTCAGAGCGGGTGCATCTTGGTTGCACATTCCGCATAAAAAGACCCTCGTGCTGCCAGCATGGGTTGTGGCCGTGAAGATGCCAACGTGTCACGCCAAAACGTGAAGTTCTGCAGCCGTCGCTGCAGATAGAATGACGCGTGTCATTTTGGTGGCGTCGAAAGCTGCCGATAATATATATGGGTTTCTGCGGTACAAATAAAACTCCCTATGTGGGAAGGCTCTACATGCTGAACAAAATGCACTTAAGTGTTAAATAAGGGCACATGGGTCTTAATAATTTACTTCCACGTTAACGTCCACCCTAACACTTTCCCGCATATTTTTATGAGGTCCATAGGGTTCTGTATCTGGGCTGGGAGATTACGGTAATTCAAAGGAGCTACCATTTATGCATTATTGATATAATACATAAACTGTACTAATAGCTCGATACCTCATATAAAAGGACGCGCGTGATAATGCCAGCCGTAGCGAGTCAACGCGTGAACAGTAGGTTTACGCGTATAGTCACCCTAAGGGTCATGCCACTTTCTGTCACACAAACGGTCACTAGCTATGTCATGCAAATAGTCGCGATATACTACGAACAGGTAAATCCGGAAAAGGTACTTCTTATACTACAAATATGCATGTTTTACCCATTATTTTTCTTGTTATTTCGGAGATTTGCTTTGCAATATGTAAAGTATTCCGCTGACTTTCGCTCTTCGCTCAACCAACTCTGGATCCTGACCACCCTAATCGCGGTGTTTACTGCAATATTATGTCGCAAATTGGACAAATCTATAGCAAGATTCTGCCATGCATATGCAATAATCCTATAATTTATCGAATATTGCTTTCACCAGCCCTTTGCACTGCAGCTCCAATTTAGTTTTCTCCGCATTTTGCAATGCAATCGTCCTTTTTGCCCTTCATAATTATTTCTTAGGTGGATTTAATGACTTCATTTAGTGATAACTGTATATTGACATCGAGTTTTGATGGTGAGAGTTGTGACTGTTATCGACTTCGACTTGTTGAACTGGCAGTTCAGGTCAGGTGGTCAGTGTGCTCATCCGTGGCACCTCCCGCTGTCGTCTTGTGGCGCCCGGAGCATTCCAGGCCAGGGTCCATCGGTTGACGAAGTGGGCTGGCATGCAGAAGCGAAGCGATGTAACTGTCGCCAACCTCTCTCGATTTATTTCGTTGGCATGAAACCCATTCTCGCAATACCTCTTGTGGAACGTAGCCATACATTGGCGACTAGACTTCTGGCAGCCCCCCCCCAAGACGTCTCAGGTGAAATTTTGTCGTTTCATTGACCATCGACACCTGAAGCCCCCCTCCGAATCGCCCACACCAGAACACACTCGCGCCCACCTCGCTCAACAACCCCACAGGCAATTAGTCAGGTGCGGAACAACAGAGCAGGTGGTCACTGTAGCTAGGTCTTGGCAGCTCAGAAGGCCAGCTGGGGCAGAAAAGTCGCACGTCGTTCGCCTGCGTCCACTGTCGTGTAGCTCCTTGCGTTTCCTCTTCGCCCTTCGTCCTGGCCCACCCGCTTCCCCCCTTCTCTGCTGCTCCTCCCCTTCCCCCTAAGCCATCACTTCTTTCCCACTCAAGATCTAGAACCGCTACACAATCATCTCAGCAACCTACCCCTTCATCTCAACTCATTTCCTCCTTCACCCTCGCCTTTCCTGTCAGAGACCCGCTCCAAGACTTACGAGATTGTCCCCGTGATAGTGCAATCCCTAGTAACCCTAGATTCCTAGCGTAGCAGCCATGGCGAGCACTCGCGTCCTCCTAGCGTCGCTCCTCATCCTCCTGGTCTCGCTGCAGCTCGCGGACGCGCAGGTTCGGAAGGCCGCGTGCCTGCCTAAGGACAAGTGCCCAGACAGGAAGAGCAAACTCTGCGGCCTCTATGCCTCGTGCTTGACTCTCAGGAGCGCTCTCCCAAATGCCTTGCCCTGCGACGAATGCGCCGCATACGACCTGTACGGTTGCCGTCCATTCCCCTACCCGTCCTTCCCTAGATAATACACCCCGATGTAGAAGTAATGTTGGTTACGTCGTACGCTGTGATGTCGCGTGCCAGTACTCCATCCATTAACGCGTCTTATGTTAGTTCAGGTGGATTTAATTTTCTTTTGATTACTGGATTACAGCGCTGACGTCGCAAACGTTACCTTTCCCGTGGGTAGGTAAGGTCCGATTCCAGGTTGATCCATGCCGTTCCTTAGTACCTCCATTCCTCCCCTTGTTTCCTCCTCCATGCCATTCCTCCCCTCGTTTTCCTTGGCATATTTTCCGGAATACAGGAAGAAGATGCCTGCGAGCGCCTGTAACTTCACCACTGGTCGCTGCGTCGCGAACAAGATCGTAAGTGCACTTTCCCTCATCCCACGTCCAACCCTTGCCTTTTGTTCTCTAGCGTTTCGATCTAATCGCGTTTCACCGCCTAAATGACCCCATACGTCTTCTTCGGCAGGCCGGCAAGTCGTGCACAGCCAAGGCGTACAACACGCTGTGCGACAAGAAGGTTCCCGGATTCGTGTGCCTCAAGGTCGAGGGTGTGCCCGTGACCAAGAAGAGCCCCCAGTTGTACCGCTGCTGCAGGAACACGTGCCCCGCGGGCCTCTGCGGCAAGTTTACCGCTCCGATGTCGTGGAGGAACGAGTGCAATGTCGTGATTGATTGCCCCACTGCGTGCGCGCCCCGCGCTGCGAACGCCGTCCATGTTACATATTTGTAACTTCGTAATTTCGAGACATTTCCGTATAATCTACACTGTACTATGGTTCTGGTTCTTTGCTTTCCAATACGATAGGTGGATTTGTATGCTGAAGAGCATGGTAATTTTCTGGAATGAGCTTGATTTATTTAAGAATTTGATGCATTTCCCGAATAAGACAGTGTGTTCGTACCAAGTATCACATTTCACCAACTTCATCGGCCTGAATCTCAGGGCGTGATGAAAAACAGCGTGACAGAAGTGTCAAACCAGATTAAAGTGCGCATCCAGGTGAATACTATTTGAGAAACTCCGTAGCGTCTCTGTATCGGATTTGTACATATCAGTAAGTTTTGAACAAGGTGCTCACGCATCCGCACTTGGGCTCACTAGTGACACGATACGCCCCTAGCTTCCACGTGTAATGATGGAAATTACAGTACAACACGATTTGGCTCAAACTCAGATACCGTGCTGAGGGAAGTTGAGATACTGTAAAAAATGATAAGGTGATGTTGAATGTGCTCCAGAATTGTGTACTTCGCATGGATCCAAATAGTGCATCCAACCTCAACAGTACAGTCCAGGACATTAATCTTTGGATGTGAGGACGAGTATAGCGAGGATGCCAATAAGGATGAACTGCAAGGCGAAGGGGAAGAAAGGTGCGGCAGACTTCAACAATAATCCTCGTATTGTGAGGATGAGACGACGAGATGTGAATATGGATGAAGTGAAAGGGAAGAGAGGATGGGATGGGAGGATGGAGAGGAGAGGCGTTTCACGTGAAAGAGGGGGGAGAGAGAGGGGGAGGGGAAGGGGAGAGGAGAAGGGGAAGTCGGGGTGGCAGGGGAGGGGGAGCGGGGGGAGAGAAGGGGGGAGGGAGGGGAAGGGGAGAGGAGAAGGGGAAGTGGGGGTGGCAGGGGAGGGGGAGAGCGGGGAGAGAAGGGGGGGGAGGGGAAGGGGAGAGGAGAAGGGGAAGTCGGGGTGGCAGGGGAGGGGGGAGGAGAGCCTTGATGTGAAAATGCTTCTAGCTGCTTATAGGTGCTTAACGTTACAACCATTCAATACTTATAGCTGCTTAAAAAAGAGTGAATGTTGTTAGAGTACCTTGATGTAGGGGTGCTCAGTCATGATGATGGTGACGTAGCCGACATAGGGCAGATAGCTGCAGCGAGGAGGGAAGGGCACATCCATGCAGGAGGGAAGGGCACACATGCAAGAGGTAAGGACACACATGTTAGTCGGAAAGGACATAGCAGGGGCGCTCAGTCATAATGGAGCAGGTACCTGCAGAAAGGAGGACACAAACACAAGAGGGGTAAGGAGGGGTCTTGCCAACACGAGTGTGTTTGCAGCATGAGTGTGAGTAGCAACACGAGTGTGAGTAGCAACACGAGTGATGCTGCATGCAAGCGCCTAGACACCCCACCCAACGACCTATCCAACCACCCCACGCAGACCACTCAACTCAGGTTTCTGGACCAAAGACGTGGTTCTTCAGCAGCCACACCTGCCACTTAGCCTGTTATGCTGTATGCATCCCACGACCTATCTAACCACTGCAGAGACAAATCAACTCAACCCAAGGCCCGCCCCATGATGTTCTGAGCCCGCTTACTCACCCCAAGGCCCGCCCTATGATGTGCTTCTTCCGCAGCCACAGGTGCCCCAACCACAGCCCACCTCTCGTACTGCTGTGTGCTGTATGGATTCCCCTGTGCTGCACGCACACAACAGACCACTCTACTCACCCCAAGGCCCGCCCTATGATGTGCTTCTTCTGTAGCCACAGGTGCCCCACCCACAGCCCACCTCTCGTACTGCTGTGTGCTGTATGGATTCCCCTGTGCTGCACGCACACAACAGACCCCTCTACTCATCCCAAGGCCCGCCCTATGATGTGCTTCTTCTGTAGCCACAGGTGCCCCACCCACAGCCCACCTCTCGCACTGCTGTGTGCTGTATGGATTCCCCTGTGCTGCACGCACACAACAGACCCCTCTACTCACCCCAAGGCCCGCCCTATGATGTGCTTCTTCTGTAGCCACAGGTGCCCCACCCACAGCCCACCTCTCGCACTGCTGTGTGCTGTATGGATTCCCCTGTGCTGCACGCACACAACAGACCCCTCTACTCACCCCATGGCCCGCCCTATGATGTGCTCCTTCCGCAGCCACAGGTGCCCCTCAGCATGTGACGATGTACCTAGACCATGGACTATCCCCATCAACTTACCCCATGGCCCGCCCGTCATGCACCCCATCTCACCCCATGGCCCGGCCGATGATGTGCTTCTTCCGCAGCCACAGCTGCCCCTCAGCATACAGAGGCAGGTCGTCCCCCTCGTTATTGTCACCTGCTCATAGGCAGGCAGAGACCAGAGAATAATTGAAAATCAAGAGGAAAAGGGTTTGGGAGGCGGGGGTGGATGAGGGAACGGCACAGAGAAGGCGAGCGGGGGAATGAGGGGAAGAAGAGAAAGTGCAGAAATGACTGGCCTACCCTTAGTGATAGCTTAGTGAGGAATTAGTAAAAATTGCTGGCCTACCTTAGTGATAGCTTAGTAAGGAATTAGTAAAAATTGCTGGCCTACCCTTAGTGATAGCTTAGTGAGGAATTAGTAAAAATTGCTGGCCTACCCTTAGTGATAGCTCAGTGAGGAATTAGTAAAAATTGCTGGCCTACCCTTAGTGAAAGCTTAGTGAGGAATTAGTAAAAATTGCTGGCCTACCCTTAGTGAAAGCTAAGTGAGGAATCAGTAAAAACTGCTGGCCTACCCTTAGTGATAGCTAATTGAGGAATTAGTAAAAATTGCTGGCCTACCCTTAGTGAGGGCTTGAAACTCGTCAGGGTCGGCCTCTTGATGGACCTGTCAGCGATGTTTGTGAGGGGGGGGAGGGGGGAAGTAGACTCATTGTGGGAGAGATGAGCCCAGGACACACAAGGACAAGAATGAGAGGGATTCACCAAAAACGGATTCGCCAGGAAAGGAATCTTGAAAGCGAGCTGGGGCAGCAGACAGCAGACAGCAGACAGCAGACAGCAGACAGCAGACAGCAGACAAAGGAACGGTATTGCAAAATTGGCATGGCAGCATATGACGTGGCTTGACTTGAGTACACAGACAGCACAAGAGTGCACAAGAGGCGTGGCTTGACTTGAGTACACAGACAGCACAAGAGAGCACAAGAGGCGTGGCTTGACTTGAGTACACAGACAGCACAAGAGTGCACAAGAGGCGTGGCTTGACTTAAGTACACAGACAGCACAAGAGTACACAAGAGGCGTGGCTTGACTTGAGTACACAGACAGCACAAGAGTACACAAGAGGCGTGGCTTGACTTGAGTACACAGACAGCACAAGAGTGCACAAGAGGCGTGGCTTGACTTGAGTACACAGACAGCACAAGAGTGCACAAGAGGCGTGGCTTGACTTGAGTACACAGACAGCACAAGAGTGCACAGGAGGCGTGGCTTGACTTGAGTACACAGACAGCAGCGTACAAGAGTGTGCCTAAAGAGAGGGCTGCATTATGGCGGATTTTCAAAAGTATCGCATCTTATGCATGCGCAATAGCACTGTACCTTAATAACGCGGTGCACAATAGGGATGTCACGACCCTGCACGGGGGGTGGGAGGGAGAAATAGAAGAGAATAGTTAAATAGGGGAAAGTGCACCGTTTAACTGTAGGCTGTGGTATCGATTATCAACATGGTAGAAGTCATTAGGAACAAAGCAAGCAGGATAGAGAAAACGCCCTGGCTTGCTTCCACACTACATTCACGTCCACGAGGTCATCTCGTCTTCCATGCTACATTCACATGGCACGAGGCCCTAAACTAATGAAATTCGCATGAAGAGCTCACCTAATCTTTCACAGGTGCAACCGATTACCATGAACCTAACCCCACGTGGCATGACTCACATCCACGTGACCTGGCTCACATCCACGTGGCCTGACTCACATCGACGTTGAAGACCACAATCTCCCCCACAGAGAGAGGCGTCGGATTCATGTGCAGAAAGAGAATGTCGCCCTGCGCGCATGGGGGGAGGGGGGGGGGAGGGGGGGGCGGGGGGGGGAGAGAGGGGGGGAGGGAGAGGGAGAGAGGGGGAGGGGGAGAGGGGGCACATGGCGGGGCAGGGAGGGAGAGAATGTCGCCCTGCATGCATTTCATAACAGACATTCGACCGCACACATACAATACAAGGGTGCGGGGTGTGGAGGGGGGGTGGGGGGGGGGGGGGGGAGGGGGGGGGGGGGTTTGTGGGGGGGGAAGAGAGAGAGGAGGAGGAGGTTCATGAGAGGAAGGGAGGGAGAAAGAAAAGGAGGAGAGGAGATATGGAGGCTGAGAAGGATGAGAGGCAGGGGCAACGGAAACCATAGGGTAAAGTGACTATGGAATATATCCAACTCTTTTGTAGACCTTAGATATAAAGTGATTATAGCGTGATTAGCCATGCTCTTTCTTATCCGCGTTACATAGCCAGCAGTCATGCACAGGCTCGTACTCGTTTGAAGCCGGGCTCCATGGAGCCCGAGAGCACGACGACAACTGGCGACTCGCTATTGGTCCAGCACATGAGGCCCTTCCAGATGATCAGCGCTGACGTCACTATCATACCTGGCAGAGTGATTACAGGGAGGCGGGGACGGGGGGGAGTAGGGAGAAGAAGGGGGGGGAGGCGGGAGACGAGGGGGGGGGGGGGGGGGGGGAGGGGGAGAAGGGGGAGAAGGGGGGAGAAGGGGGGAGAAGGGGGGAGAAGGGGGGAGAAGGGGGGAGAAGGGGGGAGAAGGGGGGAAGGCACAGGAGGCCGTATGAGATGATCAGCGCCGACAGGACGGGACGTCACTATCATGCCTGGCAGAGAGATTGCAGGGAGGCGAGAGACAGTAAAGAGGGGTTTGCATGTGTGGGGTAGGGAGAGAAGGGAAGGGGGGGAAAGAGGAGGGGGGGGAGGAATGGGGGAGGATGGGGGAGGGGAAGGGAAAGAGGGAGGTCTAGATCAGTCGTGGCAATTGTTTTTTTTTGGTTCCGATTAGGGTATTCGGTCGGACAAGTCGGTTGGAGTAACCAAAAGCCGTGGCCGAGATTCGGGTAACTGAACTGATCAGCATGATTCTTATCCAGCGAACCGAACTGCTTGGATCAGCAGAACTCCGTGATAATGCAATGAGAGCATCTTATGATAACTAAAAATAACAAATTCGACTCGGCAGATCCGTTTAAACCCGATTAGCCAAGCGAGCCCTAGTGGACCAACCAAACCCTAGTAGATCAGCCAGACGAATCCGTCGAAAGAATTCTGCGCAGGTCGAACAATGGTGCACCTAGGGTGGTTTCGACGCGTCGCTCGCCAACCAACCCTATGAAGCGTAGCTAGCAACTCGAGGCGTCTAAACATACAATGAGAACACACCTACCCTGCATCGCACCTATCCTGCATCGCACCTATCCTGCCTCGCACCTACCCTCCATCGCACCTACCCTGCGTCGCACCTACCCTGCCTCGCGCCTACCCTGGAGTTGTTAGTCGACTCAAAAGTCAGCTCGTGGCGTCTCAACATGCAACGAGAACGCACCTACCCTGGGCCGGACCTACCCTGCATCGCACCTACCCTGCATCACACCTAGCCCTGGATCAGCCGTAACCAGTGCTGGCGATCGAATCGGGAAGCGCTAGCTCGCAGCTCGTGGCGTCTCAACATGCAATGAGAACGCACCTACTCTGAACGCACCTACCCTTAACGCACCTACCCTGAACGCACCTAGCCCCAGGGCCTGTATGATGAAGTGTCGCACGCTCACGGCTCATGGCGTCGAACCATCCGCCCTCACGGACGAACAGGACGCACCTAGTGGCCGAATCGGCACGCACTTGGCGATCAAAAAGCACGCACCTAGCCCGAGGGCCTGCATGATGAAGTGTCGAATGCTCATCGCGTCGAACCACCCGCCGGTCGACATGGCAGCCGGCCGACACTACTAACCCTGAACCGTCCTGTAAGCGCTTTTCGCAACAGTCGGCAATCCCTGGGAAGTATGGAGAATTTGCCGCAAAATGCGGATCGTCGTAGATCCCACGACCAGCTGGCTGTTTCTCTCTGAAATTGACTTCCCGCCAAAATGCAGCTGACTGATCGGCTAGGGCAAGGTAGGCAGGCTCGGAAATTGCCAGACGTGTATCAGACCCGCTACAGGCAGATGTCGACTCTGTTATCCCTTAGCGGATTTAGACCAACAGGGCCTGCTACGGAAAAACAAATTGTGACTTTACCGCTTTATGTAGCCTTATGCTTGTCATGGTAATTTCGTTTTAGCTATTTCCTCTATACTTCAAGAGGACCTATTGATGCTTATTCTCACTAGGCTACGTACTGTTTATAACAACTACTACAATTTACAACAATGATCATGCTCGGCTAATCCGAATCCTTGTTGAACTCCCTACATATCACCATATGCAGCTGCCGCCACACTTACCACATAGCTAATCCGCCCAAGATTCCCCTCCGGAGCACCCATCGCAGAACCCAAAACCTCAGGCACGTCAACAAGCGACGAGTAATACTCCAAAACATCCCTCTCACACCGCCGATCTAGTTCTCCTCCCCTCCTCCTCTCACCACTCCCTCCATTCCCCAAATTCGACGACTTGTGACTTGCCAATCCAGTTTTACACTCCTCTCTACATACATCCAACATCTCCTCCCTCCCAGTAGCCCACATCATGGCATTAGCAATTTCAGCTGCCACCCAAGCGTCATCCACCTCCTCCCTCTCCTCCTCCCACTCCCCCCAATCTCCCCCATCCACACAACCTCCCCTTCCCTCCCCTTCTTCTCCTTCCCTTTCCACTTGGACAGTCAGCCTCATATCCCTCCCTCCACACACCTGAGAGACCAGTGCGGCATTCCTGTCGTTTGGAGTGTGGTTGGGCATAAAAGAGGGGTCACGTGCAGCAGCACCGGATCCCACTGCAGCACTTAGTGCCAGGTATTTAGCTAAGTGTTGAGTCGTTGCTTCCACTGCAGAATCCATAATGGCTGTTGATACTGTTGAGGCGGAAGTGGATGCAGATGCAGCAGACGAGGAGGAGGACGGATCCGGGGAACAAGAGCCAGGGGAGGAGGAAGAGGAGGTGTTGAAGGAACAAGGGTCGTTTGGAGCAGCAACAGAGCCACCAGCATGCGCTTGCTGTAGCTGCTGCTGTAGATCGTCCTGGTGATCCTGCTGCTGCTGCTGCTGCTGCTGTCCGTCCTGGTACTGCTGCTGCTGCTGCTGCTGTTGTTGTTCTCTATGTTGCTGCTGCATCTCCACCAGGGGTGACGTCATGGAGCACCCAGGCGACCCCTCCTCTCCCCCTCTCCCCTTCCCATCCAGCAATGTTTGACGCTCCTCAAGAACCGCCCCTTCGTCTCCCTCTCTCCCCTCCTCTCCCTCTCTCCCCTCCTCTCCCCCTCTCCTGTCCTCATCCAGCGAGGATGGGGAGAATGATAGGAAGGAGGACTCTGAAGATGGCTCCACACCGGCTTGCACCGGATTCTGTCTCGACTCAGCAGGCTCTTCCGCATATAGCTCTCGTCTGTATGTCTTCTCTTGCCTTCCCTGCTCTTGACTTTGCTCTTCTTGCTCTCCCTCCTCGCGTCTTCCATATTCACCTTCATACTGCCTGTCCCCTGGCATCTGCTGCTCACTCTGCAACCACCCCTCTGATCCGCCCACTTCTCCTGCTACAGCCACACCTGTTACAGCCACACCTGCTACAGCCACACCTGCTCCTCCTTCCTCTCCTGCTCCTCCTTTCTCTCCCAATCCATCTCCCTCTCCCTCTTCCCATTCCCCCCCGTCTCTCAAGCCCTCTTGCTCTTCCTCTGCCTCGCCCTCCCATGCAATCTCCTCACTCTCGCCATCACTCAGCGCGTCTGCCTCTAACCCCCTGTCAGCTGCTGGTGCTTGACCTCTGCTGGTATGCCCATGCATGCTGTTACGACCATCTATGGTGGCGAAGGGGGAGAGGGGAGGGGAAGGGAAGTGGAGTGGAGGAAGGGTTGGGAGGTGGGGAGTGGAGGTTAAGGCACGAAGGTTGGCAATCTCCTATGTCTCAAGCTGAGCCGGACAAAGACAGATGATGCATGCAGTATGCTGACAGCACATGCACCATGAGGCACAGTGCAAGGAACCAGAGAGAGTAGAGCACGGTAATGGGATGGGATGCATGGCAGCCTTGTTGCATGGAAAATAATATCCAGATCATGGGATTTGAAGGAAATTGGGACGTCTCAAATGACAAAGGCATCGCACGCACGCAGCAGAATAACTGAAATAGCACATCCATGCCCATGCCCATGCCCATGCCCATGCCTATGCCCATGCCCATACATATCCATGCCCATGCCCACGCCCATGCCCACGCCCATGCCCATGCCCATGCCTACGCCCATGTCCATGCCCATGCCCATGCCCATGCCCATGCCCATGCCCTTGCCCATGCCCATGCCCACACTTTGCACTCCCGACGCAATTTGAGCAATCAGAAATCACAGTACCTGCTGCTGCCGCCTGAGAATGCTGCTGCACACCCATGCCATTTCCATGCCCATGCCCATGCCCATGCCCATGCCCATGCCCATGCCCATGCCCATGCCCATGCCCATGCCCATGCCCATGCCCATGCCCACGGATCTGGCTCCTCATGAATGGCCCAGTTACATGCATGCATGCATCAAAGTACCTGCTGCTGCTGCTGCCTGCGAATGGCGTTGCACACCCATGCCATGCCCAAGCCCATGCGCATGGATCTGACTCCCCTGCACATACTGTGCTACAGCCGCCGCTACATCCGCCGGCACTGCCTTGTCCAGCAGAGCAAACAGGTCGGACAATTCCTGGAGAAGCCACAATGACAAAGGGGGAAGCAAGGAATTAAGTATGCACTCCCCATGCCCATGCATCTGACCCCTCTCCTGCACACACTGTGCTACAGCCGCCGCTACATCCGCTGGCGCTGCTTTATCCAGCAGGGCAAACAGGTCGGTCGATTCCTGTGGGGGGAAAAGGAGGAGAGGGGGTGGAAGCAAGGGTGTAACTGCCTTGCACATAACTATGAGTGCCCTGCACATAATGTGCTACAACCGCCGCTACATCTGGTTTCACTGCTTTATCTGGCAGGGCAAAAAGGTTGGTCAAATCCTGTGGGAGAAAAGCAAGAGAGCAGAGAACGAATGATATCTGAAGAGTCGAGAAAGGGAAGGATGCAGAAGGGCCCGTAACATCGTAACCACGGCCGGGCGCTGGCATAAACATATGATACGCAAACGGTTCATGCATAAACTATTCATATGTACAAGCATACCGATTCTGCAAGCGAGTCCATAAATGGCGCCATGAACGCTGGGCCAACTTGAGCAATAACCTCCCCTAAGCACCGGGCTGCAGGCAGACGCGTCTTGGGGTCCTTGAGCAGAGGGAGGAGGCGAGTGCCCCACTGACGGATGCACTTGGCTGGAGGGAGGGAGGGAGAGAGGGAGGGAGGGAGATAGAGGGGGGGGGTAAGAACTACTGCGTGGGTGTGGGGTGAGGCAGGCGGGTGTTGGTGTCTTTGAGCAGAGGGAGGAGACGAGTGCCCCACTGACGGATGCACTTGGCTGAAGAGGGAGAGGGAGGGAGGGGGTGTGGCAATGGGGGCATTGGGAAGGGAGGGATGGGGGAGTAAGGGAAGGCGGGTGTTGGGATCCTTGAGCAGTGGAGGGAGCCGAATGCCCCACTGACGGATGCACTTGGCTGGAGGGGGAGAGGGAGGGAGGGGGTGTGGCAATGGGGGTATTGGGAAGGGAGGGATGGGGGAGTAAGGGAAGGCGGGTGTTGGGATCCTTAAACTGTGGGAGGCGAGTGCCCCACTGACGGAGGGGGAGCAACAACGGCTCCCCCCCTTCAATTAAAGAAGGACACAAAAAAGAAATAAATAAAAGCTTGAGGCTAGCGACCACGCACGGCTCACCTTCCGCTGTGCTTCTTCTGACTTGGGCCATTGCAGTCCCAGCACGCCTGCTCTCCTGCTCCTCTCCCACTTCCTCCTCCTCCTCGTCCTCCTCTCTCCCCGCCCTCCCTCTCAGCACCAGGAAGGCAAACTCCATCACACACACCCTCACTCTCGGCCCCCTCTGCCCCTCCAACGCCCTCTCCAACACCGGCAGCAACACCTGCACCGCTTCCACCTCCCCTCCCCTCAACCACTCCCCACTCCTCCCCACCTCGCTCCTTCCCTCACCCCCACCCCCACTCCCACGCCTAAACCACCTCTCTCTAATACCACCCAGTATCCCTTCGGCCTGTACCCTCAGCCTGTCCTTCCCTGGGGCAGGGTCGGCCACTCGGGAGAAGAGCGGGGGCAACCAGCGATCCAGATGTGGTGGGGCGAGGATGGGGGGGCAGTGCAGGACGAGGTCGTCCAGTACGGCGAGTGCTGACGTGGCTACTTTGGTGTGGGCAAACTCCATCCCCGTTACTAGCAGCTCCACTACTTTCTCCAGGTGCTGTGAGGAGGGGAGAGGGCATGCAAACAAGGGAGCAGAGAGGGCAGCCAGCGGTCGAGGAAGGGGGGGGGGAGGATGGGGGGGCAGTGCAGGATAAGGTCGTCTAGTAGGGCGAGAGCTGAGGTCGCCACCTTGGTGTGGGCAAACTCCATCCCCGTTACTAGCAGCTCCACTACCTTGTCCAGATGCTGTGAGGAACGGACATAGGTGAGAATGGGGGAAAATGAATGGTAATAGTCCACCACCCTCTAGTAATATCCAGTATCCCTTCTGCCTGCGCTCTCATTCCGTCACACACCTACCGTCGTGACCGCCTGAATTTCCTTGCGACCCACGCCCCCCTCCCCGACCCACGTCCAACCAGCAAGCTCATACAACTTATCCTACTTTTGCGTCTCACACATACCGCCTGAATTCCCTTGCGACTCACGCCCTCCTCCCCCCATCCCACGTTCCACTCATACCCTTTCATAGCCCCCCCACTAGTATCCTACTCTTGATCTCTCACACACATACCTTTGTGACGGCCTGGATTCCCCTGCGGCTCACGCCCTCCTCCTCATCCCACCCTCCCTCCCCTCCGCCCGTCAAACACTCCCTCACAGCCTCAGTGGCCGCCACCCGCCTGGACCAATCACACCCCTTCCTCAACCCCTCCTCCACCCTCTCCCGCATCACCTCCCCCACATCCCGCTGCAGCGGCTTTCTATGGCCCCTCTCCCTCCCTCCTGCCCCCTCTGCTCCTCCTGCTCCTCCTGCTCCTCCTGCTCCTCCTCCCATCGCTCCCATCCCTCTTACTGTTCCTCCCATCCCTCCGTTCCCTCCTGCCCCGTAGCTGCTAGCTATGCTCCGCCTCGCAGCTCTGGGGGGAGCAGCAGCGGAGGGTGAGGATGGGCGGGCACGGGCAGGGGGGGGAGGGGAGTAGCTGGTGTGTCGTGGAGGCATGGATGCCCGGGGTGCGCACTGCTGCTGCTGCTGCTGCTGCTGCTGCTGCTGCGGATGATAATGATGATGCTGGTGATGGTGATTTTGCTGCGCTGTTGGCACAGCTCCAGCTAACGAAACCCGTCTCCTGCCAGCTCCTGCCCCCACCGCTGCTGCTGCTGCTGCTGCCCCCCCTCCTGCTCCCCCTCCTGCTCCCCCTCCTGCTCCCCCTCCTGCTCCCCCTCCTGCCCCCCCTCCTCCTCTTACCCCTGCCCCTGTTGCTGCATTAGCTGCAAGCCTAACAGGCCCCCTTGCTGCTCTCGTCCTCTCCTCAACCCACCCCACGTTACCCATTGCCCCTCCACCCTCCTCACTCCCTCGCACCGGCGCCCCCACAGACCTCCTCGCATGCACTCCCCTTCTCTCCCCACCACCCTCCCCAATCCCACCTCCCCCTATCCCACCTGCCCCAGTCCCACCTGCACGCATTCTCCCCATGCCCATCCCCGCCATATCCCGTCCTTCCCCCGCTCCTCCCTTCCCTTCCCTTTCCCCCAGTGCCCTTCCGATCACCCTGTTCGCTCCAGCCCCTAGAAGCCTGGACGGCGCTAGCCCCTCGATATTGCTGGAGGCAGCAATACTATGCCTCTGTCTCCTCGCCCCACCACCACACAGCCCTTCTCCTCCTGCTGCTCCTCCTCCTGTTGCTCCTCCTGCTGCAGTCGACGCATGCCATGCTCCCTGCACGTTCTCCTTCATAGGAACATCGTCTATAGGAACCCGAGCCATGCCAGCAGCAGCAGCAGCGCCACCCGTGCTGCTAGCAGTGTCCCCAGCGTCGAAGTTCAGAACACGAACGATTTTGGGCGAAAGGGTCATTTCACTCCGTGGTGAACCTTCCCCAGATGACACCTCGTCTCCTCCAAAACCTTCATCATCATCTTCATCGGCAGTGTAAGCAGCAGCAGCAGTACCTGCCCTTCCCCTCGCTTCAACCCCATACGTTATTGTCACTCTCTGTGGACCAACCACTCCTCCCCTCCCTGCTGCCCTTAAACCCACCCGACCGGCTGCTACAGCTGCTACAGCTGCTACAGCTGCTCCTGCTGCTCCTGCTGCTCCTGCTGCTCCTGGTCCTGCTACAACCCCCTCACGCCCTCCCCCTCCTCCTGCCACCACCCTCACTGCCGCTGCAGCAGCAGCTGTGCCTTCTGTACCCAGCCTCACTCCCCGAACCAACCCCATCCCACCTCCTCCTCCCCTTTCTCCTCCCCAGCCCCCTCTTGTAGCAGCACTACCAGCAGCAGCAGCAGCAGCAGCACCGCCTGTAGCAGCACCGCCTGTAGCAGCAGCAGCAGCAGCAGCCGCTATTGCTCCCCTTGCCAGCTGACCGGCTGCACGATTCAGGCTAAGACTGGCCAATCCTCCCCTGGCACCATCTGCAGCAGCGCCTGTAGCAGCTGCAACACCTGAAGCAGCACCGGCTGTAGCAGCACCACCAGCACCATCAGCTGTAGCAGCAATTGTAGCAGCAGCAGCCTGTCTCCGAGCGGCCATGAGGTTCCCAAGGGAAGCAGCCGAGCGAGGCAGAATGGGCTGGGGGCTGCGCGCTCGAGAGGGCGAGGGGCGGGGAGCTGGGTCTCTCCGTGTGTGTGCTGAGAGCACGGCTGACTTGTCCTCCTGGGCTAGCACCTGGGAGAGATAAAAGGGCCAGGAAGGAAGGTGAGAAAGAGATACCAGCAGTTGGGCACACAGTGGGGGAGGCGTAGGTCGGGAGGGCAGTGGGGTCCCTCTTAGTGTGTGTGCTGAGAGCACGGCTGACTTGTCCTCCTGGGCTAGCACCTGGGAGAGATAAAAGGGCCAGGCAGGAAGGTGGAAAGAGAAACCAGTAGTTACGCACACAGTGGGGGAGGCGTAGGTCGGGAGGGCAGTGGGGTCCCTCTTAGTGTGTGTGCTGAGAGCACGGCTGACTTGTCCTCCTGGGCTAGCACCTGGGAGAGATAAAAGGGCCAGGAAGGAAGGTGGAAAGAGAAACCAGTAGTTACGCACACAGTGGGGGAGGCGTAGGTCGGGAGGGCAGTGGGGTCCCTCTTAGTGTGTGTGCTGAGAGCACGGCTGACTTGTCCTCCTGGGCTAGCACCTGGGAGAGATAAAAGGGCCAGGAAGGAAGGTGGAAAGAGATACCAGTAGTTAGGCACACAGTGGTGGAGGCGTAGGTCGGGAGGGCAGTGGGGTCCCTCTTAGTGTGTGCTGAGAGCACGGCTGACTTGTCCTCCTGGGCTAGCACCTGGGAAAGTAGAGAAGGGCCAACGTGGAAGGTGAGGAAGGGATACCAAGAGGTGAGGAAGGGATACCAAGAGGTGAGGAAGGGATACCAAGAGGTGAGGAAGGGATACCAAGAGGTGAGGAAGGGATACCAAGAGGTGAGGAAGGGATACCAAGAGGTGAGGAAGGGATACCAAGAGGTGAGGAAGGGATACCAAGAGGTGAGGAAGGGATACCAAGAGGTGAGGAAGGGATACCAAGAGGTGAGGAAGGGATACCAAGAGGTGAGAAAGGGATACCAAGAGGTGAGGAAGGGATACCAAGAGGTGAGGAAGGGATACCAAGAGGTGAGGAAGGGATACCAAGAGGTGAGGAAGGGATACCAAGAGGTGAGGAAGGGATACCAAGAGGTGAGGAAGGGATACCAAGAGGTGAGGAAGGGATACCAAGAGGTGAGGAAGGGATACCAAGAGGTGAGGAAGGGATACCAAGAGGTGAGGAAGGGATACCAAGAGGTGAGGAAGGGATACCAAGAGGTGAGGAAGGGATACCAAGAGGTGAGGAAGGGATACCAAGAGGTGGGGAAGGGATACCAAGAGGTGAGGAAGGGATACCAAGAGGTGGGGAAGGGATACCAAGAGGTGAGGAAGGGATACCAAGAGGTGAGGAAGGATACCAAGAGGTGAGGAAGGGATACCAAGAGGTGGGGAAGGGATACCAAGAGGTGAGGAAGGGATACCAAGAGGTGAGGAAGGGATACCAAGAGGTGAGGAAGGGATACCAAGAGGTGAGGAAGGGATACCAAGAGGTGGGGAAGGGATACCAAGAGGTGGGGAAGGGATACCAAGAGGTGAGGAAGGGATACCAAGAGGTGGGGAAGGGATACCAAGAGGTGAGGAAGGGATACCAAGAGGTGAGGAAGGGATACCAAGAGGTGAGGAAGGGATACCAAGAGGTGAGGAAGGGATACCAAGAGGTGAGGAAGGGATACCAAGAGGTGAGGAAGGATACCAAGAGGTGAGGAAGGGATACCAAGAGGTGGGGAAGGGATACCAAGAGGTGAGGAAGGGATACCAAGAGGTGAGGAAGGGATACCAAGAGGTGGGGAAGGGATACCAAGAGGTGAGGAAGGGATACCAAGAGGTGGGGAAGGGATACCAAGAGGTGAGGAAGGGATACCAAGAGGTGAGGAAGGGATACCAAGAGGTGAGGAAGGGATACCAAGAGGTGAGGAAGGGATACCAAGAGGTGAGGAAGGGATACCAAGAGGTGGGGAAGGGATACCAAGAGGTGAGGAAGGGATACCAAGAGGTGAGGAAGGATACCAAGAGGTGAGGAAGGGATACCAAGAGGTGAGCACACAGTGGGGCAGGCGTAGGTAGGGCGGGCGGGGAGTGGGGTCCTCTTAGTGTGCAGTGCACTGACAGCACGGCCGACTTGACCTCTTGGGCTAGCACCTGGGAAGGAGAGAGATGGGGCATCGAGATGGGATATCAACAGGCAAGCACCCACATGGTAGGGAAGTGCTGTAAGCACCCACATGCTAGGGAAGTGCTGCAAGCACCCACATGCTAGGGAAGTGCTGCAAGCACCCACATGCTAGGGAAGTGCTGTAAGCACCCATGCCTTGCCTTGTGCATCCCAGCGATCAACGAGAGTCCGACCCAGACGTACCTTTTGCACTGTGACATCAAACGAGGAGTGAAGCTGGGCAGCCCTTTCCGGCCAGTAGTGGGAAAACTCTCGGAAGCTGCGCCTGGCTGTGGCCCGCACCTGAGGGAGGGGAGGGCGGGGCGGGAGGGGGTGCATGTGTGAGTTGAGAGGCAAAAATATCACTGCTGCTCGCATTTTTAAAGAGCAACCGGATGCAGCACCATCCCCTCTCTCCTCCCATCCTTTCCCTCACCTCCCTTGTGCCATCCTGCACGCCACAATGCCGCACTTCATCGCACCCACCAGCGCTGCCAGCTCGCCCCGTGGGCCGCACACCTCTCCCCATCCCGCCTCACTTAACCACTTCTCACCTCTCGAATCCCATCCGCACCCCTCTACTCTCATCCGCTCTCGCTCACCTCTCTCGTCCCATCCGCACCTCTCTACTCTCATCCCCCCTCTCTCTCGCTCACCTCCCTTGTGCCATCCTGAACGCCGCTGCGAATGCTGATCTCAATCGCGTCCACCAGCGCTGCCAGCTCGCCCTGCGGGCCCCACACCTCCAGAGCCAGTAGAACGTACTCCGCACACCTGGGGGGGGACGCAAAAGAGAAACATTGAAAGACAGAAGCGACAAAAGAGGAGATTGAGAGACACGAGAGAGGATGATCAGCAGTAACCAGCTCACCCTGTGGGCCCACAGGTGGCGCTAAAGGTGTGCGGCCCCACACCTTTAGCGCCAGAAGGACGTACTCCACACACAGGGAGGATTTGACAAAAGGGATCTTGAAACGAGATTTGAGGGGCGGGGATAGGGATGGGGAGGACGCTTTGGCCAGCTCGCCCTGTGGGCCCCACACCTCCAGCACCAGTAGAATGTACTCCACACACCTGGGAGGGGGAATGGAATAAAATGCTATAGGGGATATAAATAGCAGCTTGTCAGAGCAGAAATAGGGTCGAGGGAGATCATACCAGCTCGCCCAGTGGGCCCCACACCTCCAGCGCCAGCTGAACGTACTCCACGCACCTGGGGGGGGCTTAACCTTGCCGGATTTGAAAAGTGGATACGAACTTACCTCGCTTTTCTCTCTCCCTTTCCCTTTCCAGTACCCACTTCTCCTCCCCTCCCTCCACCCTCCCCACCCCACCTGGTTCTCAACACAGTGCTTCTCCACGCCCGGGCCATCCCCACCCCACCTGGTTCTCAACACAGTGCTTCTCCACGCCCGGGCCATCCCCACCCCACAAGACAGTGCTGGTCCTTCAAGATGTCTAAACACCTTACTCAGTGTGTAGACTTGCCACCTACCTTTTCCCCTGCCTACTTCCCCCCCCCACTTGCCCCTCTCCACACCCTCCTCCCCACCCACCTGGTTCTAAACACAGTGCCCTTCGACGCCCGGGCCATCTCTAGCACCTTGCTCAGTGTGCGGCTTCCCACCTACCCTCGCCACTTGCCTACCTTTCCCCATCCGCCCATCCCGCCCATCTGGTTCTCAGCACAGTGCTCTTCAACGCCCAGGTCGTCTCAAACAACTTGCTCAGCGTGCGACTTGTCACATGTCCCCTACCCCCCGCCCACGTTTTACCCCGTCCGCCCATCCCGCCCACCTGGTTCTCAGCACAGTGCTCTTGGACGCCCGGGCCGACTCAAACACCTTGCTCAGCGTGCGGCCGGGCCTGCAACGTGTCACCACCTGATAGGATGAGTGGGCGCCGAACGAGCATCGTCGAAAAAAAGAAGAAGAAAAAAAAAACGGAATTTGAGGATGTAAGAAGGGCATTGCCAAGCACGGCTGACACAGACAATCACAGGGATAGGGATAAGGGATATGGAAAGGACGACAGGGACGGGACGGGGATGGGACACGGAGACGTGGGCACTGGAGGGACAGGGGAGGAGAGTGGCAAGAATCTGGCAGCCGTGAATCTGGTAGCTGTGCTCAGCGAGAGCTCGCGACACCAATGGCGAGGCTGCACTACAAATGACGAGCTTACAATCCGGATGGTGGCATCGGCAGAGTCAGCCATGATTGCCGCGGACGACCCCAAGAGCTTCATCAGCTCCTGGTGGGCGGTGAGGGGGAGGGGCGGGAGGCAGGTAGCACGGGGAATGTGTTAGCAGCTGCTTTTGAGGCGCCTTCAAACTAGCAGCGGACGACCCCCAAGAGCTTCATCAGCTCCTGATGGGCGGTGAGGGGGAGGGGCGGGAGGCAGGTAGCACGGGGAATATGTTAGCAGCTGCTTTGAGGCGCCTTCAAACTAGCAGCGGACGACCCCAAGAGCTTCATCAGCTCCTGATGGGCGGTGAGGGGGAGGGGCGGGAGGCAGGTAGCACGGGGAATATGTTAGCAGCTGCTTTGAGGCGCCTTCAAACTAGCAGCGGACGACCCCAAGAGCTTCATCAGCTCCTGATGGGCGGTGAGGGGGAGGGGCGGGAGGCAGGTAGCACGGGGAATATGTTAGCAGCTGCTTTGAGGCGCCTTCAAACTAGCAGTGGACGACCCCCAAGAGCTTCATCAGCTCCTGATGGGCGGTGAGGGGAGGGGCGGGAGACAGGCAACAGAGGGATTAGGTTAGTGCTAGGGCTAACGTCACAGATGGGTGGTGGAACCTGCAGAAGTGCCATGATAGCCACGGACGATCCCAAGAGCTTCATCCGGCTCCTGGTTGGCGGTGAGGGGCAAGAGACAGGCACCATGGGAGACGGATTATATGTGGATTAGTTTAGGGTTTGGTTTTGAGGGTTCTGAATAGTAGCAACGGAGGACCCCAAGCGCTTCAAATCAGCAGCTTCGGATGGGAGGCGGAAAATGGGAGACAGGCACCATGGGAGACGGGCTACAGGGGGAAAAGGTTAGGGTTTGGTTTCGAAGCTAGGAGCGGACCACACCAAGAGCTTCATCAGCTCCTGATGGGAGGTGAGGAATGGGAGACAGGTGCCACGGGAGACAGGCACCATGGGAGACAGGTGCCACGGGAGACAGGCACCATGGGAGACAGGTGCCACGGGGAGAAGGTTAGGGTTTGGCGGGGAGCGAGGATCTGCGACAGATCAGATGTATCCGAGCTCGAGCTAGCCACCAACTGCTGCAATCGAGTGGCATACTAGCTCGCGACCCATGACAACACGCGGATCAGGCGAAGCGAAGAGAGCGGGGAGAAGGAGCGACCTTGCAGTGTGTGACACAAAAGTAACTGTTCCTAATCTGGCATGTGATAACATGGAGATCCGACTGACCTGCAAACAAAAAATCCGGGCAAACTTCAGGCTCTCCAAACATGCACTCAGCAATAGCCGAAGCAGGATGACCTGGAGGTGCGAATCTGACACGTGGAGCTTATCAGACAGGGGAAACCGGCTGACGTGAAGTAGAATGTCCACGCATACTTCGAGCTCCCCTGACAGGCCCTCAGCAACGGCCAAAGTCGCAAATCCGACATGTGGAGCTCATCGGACAGGGGAAACGGGCTGACCTGAAGCAGAAGATCCACGCATACTTCAAGCTCTCCGGACAGACACTCTGCAATAGCCGAAACGAGGTTGCACGCCTGCAATAATGAAAAGCACGCACACGTCGAATAAAAACGAAGCGAATTAGGCGAGTCACCAGAACCTTCTAAATAGCAACGATAAAGTCGACTCAATCGACAGGAGTCGCGTGTAGCTGCCTCCATTAAATCTGAAGTGTGCGAGCTTGCAATTTTCGATTGGATAGACTGCAGGATCGTCATCCCAATCAGAGAACCTGCTTGACAATCGTGAAACGGCCGTCTAAGTAGCTGTCTGACAATCCTCGACTGGCGCTACCTGCTCCGTCTAAGTAACTGCCTGACATCCTAGACCGGCCGTCAGAGTACCTGCTCGACGATCTTGGAACTGCCGTCTGCCGTCTGCCTGCAGCTGCACGGCGAGGTGAGGCACGGCTAGACGTCGGAGAAAAGACGAAAAGCCTACTACTCCGGACCTTGCCTGTCAGACGAATAACGAACTTGCAAAATCCCGCGAGAAAAAAAATTTGATTTTATCTACCTGCTTGACTGTCATAATCGGCCGTCAAGTCACCTGCTTGAAGATGTTGGATCGGCCGTCCTGCAGCTGCACGGTGAGGTGAGGCATGGCGAGCTGCGAGCTATTGCGGCCCTTGCCGCTGACACACGACGCCTGGGCTGGCCACAGAGAAATAGAAGCTGGGCAAAGGCAGGTACCTGCTTGACGATCTTGGATCGGCCGTCCTGCAGCTGCACGGCGAGGTGAGGCATGACGAGCTGCCGGAGCAGCGACGAGATGCCCGCTACTCCGGACCTTGCCGCTGCGATAAGCGAGTAGGGCATCGGGAACGCAAAGACAAGGGGAAAGATGACTTGAGACTCGACCCAAAAGTCATGTTGAGGTGAGGCATGACGAGCTGCCGGAGCAGAGACGAGATTCCAGCCACTCCGGACCTTGCCGCTGCGATTAGCGACCAGAGGGAACCCAACGAGTAGGAGAAAGCCAAACAAGGGCAACGTTGGCACCAGATGGTTCTTTCCGGGCTTTGACGGAAGTTGCACGGAAGACACACGGAAGATGCACTGACTAACCGATGGGTTGGGTGGAGACGCTAGAAAAAGAACTCTAGACTCGGGCTTTGAATAGCGGAAGACGAGAAGGAAGTTGCGACGACAATATCCTACAATAGGCTTAGACTGGAAAGCCTTATTTTCTCGGTCTAGCTCTTATTGAAGGAAGATTGAAGGAAGTCCGAAGTGCGAAAGATTGAAGGAAGTCCGAAGTCCTGACGACAACATCCTACCGCCTAAGGTTGGGCTTAGACTGGAAAGCGTACCGCCTCGGAAAAGCCCTTCGAGACGCTTCAAGGCAGCCATGCGAGCGTCCCAGTCCACCTGTGGGTCCAGCTTCGGGAAAAGCGCCTCCACCTCTCGCGCTAGCTCCCTCGCGTTAGCGATGTGGATGATGCTGGCCGCCATGGTAGTAGAGTGCAAATGAGGTTGAGTCAGGAGTTAAAATGAGTACTACTCAGTTAATCGTTAAACGCAAGAGCTAGACTGAGTTAATCACTCCTAGACAGCTGGTACTTTAGAGTCTCGAATCGCTAGCGTCGTGAGCAGTATTGAGGAGCCTAAAGAAAAGAGTTGGACTGGGAAAATCGCTCCTGGACAGCTGGTACTTCAGAGGCTTATATCCCTAGCCTCGTGATCAGTCAGAGAAATGGCATGTCGTTTCTGGCGTACAGCTCCTGGTCCTTCGGAAAAAGAGATCCCGAACTCATGCGACGTGTATGTAATCCACGTGTTGTCGATAAGTCACAGCTGAGCGAAATGCGAGTTAGCATAGCTCGCTGGTGCTACAACTACCGTACCCAAACTGCGCCGTCCGTACTATTAGTAACCAGTAACAACCGCTCACTTTAATCCCTAACAACTACAGTACAAGAGAGACGAGAAGTACACGAGCCAGTGATCACACTTCCCTGACGACGCGGGCTTTATCAAGGCAGTTGCAGGAGGTAAACTAGGACGGATAAGCGGCAGGTCAAAGGTTTGCTCGCGCATGGGTTGCTGGGAAGACCAGGAGTATGCAATGCGCGCGAGCTATCAGTGTGGAGCGGACCTTGGGTCCATCAGTTTTGATGAGCATGGGGATTGGTTGGTTGATACTATATTTGCTGGAACTTTTGAAACTTGAAAAATCTGGGGGAGACTTGCAAGGAGGTGCCCCGACAGGATATTGGTTGTGATTGGTCAGTTTGCAGCTCTGTCAGAGAAAACAGGTAACTTCTGGATGTTGTCGCGCTTTGGCTTCTGCATAAGCGCGGCACTTGACGTCTGCCGACAACTTCGGCTAGGAGTTACCACATGTAACCAGTATCCTTGGAGTTTTCTCGATGCCAAAGAGGTTGCGCCGCCGTCACACAGGTGGGTCCTCCCATGTTGGCGCCAAAATGTAGAGGTTTTGGCTGAACGAGTCGCGTTTTCGACATGTTGACCTGACTCCTGCACCTGGCTCATAGGCGGTTTGCTTCTGACAAACCCGAACAAGCGCCAATAGAAACACTCCACAGGCTTTTGTACACGCATTTAAGGTGTAAAACGATACCTAAGTCAAACACTAGGTCTAGGTCACACAAACTCTTCCAATGTGCTTTCCTCTGTATGCTTCGCATGTGTAAAGAAAGAAAGGGTGATAGGTGTTGGTTTACTCCTGTAAGGAAATGGTATTTCTTTCTCACGGGTTTTAATCAGTAAGGCGTACATTGCTGTAACGGGGTCGCCGCGCAGCGCTGCAACAGAATTCAAAGCGTAGTCCCAAATGTGGTCTCTTGACGAGCCGCATACATTAATGCCCGCCTTGCTGTTGCTTGCCTAGATCGGGGCGCTCCGCGCCATTTTACGAACCACACGTCGCAGCTCTGCCGAGCCACGACCGTGTGCTCCTAGGCTAGCTATATCCATGCTCCCTACTGTTTTGATGTTGCCATAGTTGTATTGTTTCCTCGTTAATCAATCCTTCCACACACACTCTTTGCGCTTCATTACACCTGGTCATCGGAGCCAACGATCCGCAGCCTTGCGCTCTAGTATCAAACAGTGAAATTGATAAATAGAGAGAGAGAGTACACAAACATATACCTAACTGTTGTACTCTCTAGAAGATGACCCTATACAGTCTATACAAGCATGATAACTAAACATGTTTGACACACCCCCTGGACTGCATAGGGGAATGTTCTAGACAAGCAGCTCAGGGTGGCACTACTAGTCCAGCCTCTGAGACAAGGGTCTAAAAGACCAGTCAGAAGGAGTACAGGCAAGGCAAGAACTAGTACAGGGCGGCACTACTAGTCCAACCACTGTAAGAGGACACAAGTCCAGTCTGAGTGTACACACAGATATATAGGACAGTACAGAGTCAAGGCCCGAGTAAGTGAGAGACTACAGGAACCAGACCAAGCTGTACACAGTGCCGCTGATGATCTTTAGGCGCAAGCGCCTTCGTAAAGATATCAGCTGTGTTGGCACCGGAGGCTAAGTGTACTACGCGAGCCTGACGACGCTGCTGTAGCTCACGCAGGAGGAAGTACCGCAGCTGGATGTGCTTCGCTCTGCCCTCGAGTCCAGGCTCCTGACACAGGAGGATCATGGCCCTGCTGTCAGCGTACAGGACCGGGGCAGAGCTAGGCCGCTCACCTAAGTCAGTGAGCAAGAAGGTCAGCCAGCGGAGCTCCTGTGCCGCCATGGCACCGGCGTAGATCTCGGCCTCACAGCTGGACTGGGCAACAGACGAAGAGCGGGTAGCTCTCCACGAGACAACACCTGAACCAAGGCTAAAGCAGTAGCCCTGGGAAGACCTGAGCGTCTCGGCGTCGTCTGCCCAAGAAGCGTCTGTGTGTCCAGTAAGGACCACTGGCCTGCGTCCGCCTAGCACTAACCCCATGCCCGATGTACTTGCAAGATAACGCAAAACCCTCTTAGCGGCAGACCAGTGCTGAGGTCGGTGCCTGCCTGTGGCCACGAAACGAGCCAGGATGCTGAGAGGGTATGCGAGATCTGGGCGAGTGCAAGTCATCAGGTACATGAGGCAACCCACTAGCTCAGCGTAAGGACCACTGGGATCTACCGACTCCTCAGGAACTGGAGCGGAGAGTCTGTGGTCCAGAGGAAGAGGGGTGGGCTGTGCGGAGGAGAACTGAAGGCCGAACCTCTGAAGGACCTGGCGCACCAAGTGTGACTGAGTCAGGGTGATGGTGCGCGCGGCTCTGTCCCTGGAGATCTGCAAGCCAAGGTAACGGCGCAGCTCTCCAAGGTCAGTGCAGGTGTGTCTCTTCAGCAGCTCTGCCTTCACGGAGGCCAGTGCGTCCCTGTCAGCAGTGGCAAAGACCAGGTCGTCTACGTAGACGAGGATGTAGAACGGAGTCGAGCCAGCACGAACGAAGAGCGAGGGGTCTGCAGAGGACGGAAAGAACTGCAGGTCAGCAAGGGTAGCACGCAAAGTGTCGTGCCACTCACGAGGCGCCTGGCGCAGGCCGTAGACTGGCCGCCGCAGAAGCCACTGGGTCCCAGGGGGGAAGGTGCCAGTAAAGCCCTGAGGGCGACGCAGGTAGACCTGCTCGTGAAGGCTGCCCTGAAGAAAGGCAGTGGAGAAGTCGAGGGAGTGAAGCTCGTAGTCACGCTGAGCCGCTACGTGTAGCAGCACCCGAAGAGTAGTCATCTTCGGGGTAGGAGCGAAAGTCTGAAAGAAGTCCACCCCCTCGCGCTGACTGAAGCCTCTAGCCACGTAGCGCGCCTTGAACACAGGCGGCTCTCCAGGAGGGCGCTTCACCTTGAAGAGCCAACGGCCATCGACCACGTTCACCCCAGGTGGGGGAACTGCGTCGACGAAGGTGCCGGTGGATCTCCAAGATGCCATCTCCTGCTCCATGGCAGCTATCCACTGAGAGGCCCAGGGTCCCGAAACCGCCTCAGCGTAAGTACGAGGGGTCGGGATGTCGAAAGCGTCTGGGTCACCCTCAGGGACTAGCAGCATGGAACAGAGATGGGGAGCAGCCTCGGACAGGAAAGCAAGCTCAAACTGGCGGTCCTCCAGGACGTCACTGCCGAGGGCAGGAGCACCCCCGACAGACGGAGGACAGGCAGGGTGAGAGACCAGAGCGGTGGCGTAGTCAAGGCGGCGGGTAGAGGCGAAGTCAGCGACCGCAGCGACGAGGGCGTCAAGACTCGACACGGGAACAGACGGGTCGGTAACGAGAGAGGCAAGGACCCGAGGAACAAGAGGACGAGCGGCACGAAAGAAGTCGGACAGAGGAGGAGACGCAACGACAAGAGAAGACGGAGGAGGAGACGGGAGGAGGGGAGGTCGAGACGCGTGGGAACGGAGCAACATAGGGTGAGAGCGCGGGACAGGTGAGACAGGACGAGCACGAGAGGGGCGGCGAGACCAGACGTGTGAGGGCGGCGTCGGGTCAGGAGACAGAGGAGGGGACACAGGAGGGGAACGAGGGGGAAGACGAGCCGGGGACGAGTCTGGCAGAGGGAACACGGGGCCGTAGACGGGAAGAGGGGGAGACGGCAGGAGAGGAAAAGGCGCAGGGTCAGGAGACGGAAGGCCGAGCAGACGGAGGGCGGACACAGGCGGGGACTGCTGCTGCGGCGACACAACACCAACACCAGGGCCACAAGCTGCGCGACGGCTACCTCCCGAACCCTCCACACCTGCACCCCCAGAAGGGACACCCCCAGAGTCCACAAACGGCGGCAGCGACGACGGCGGCGGCGGCGGCGGCGGCTGCGACGTGGCCGGGCGGCTGCGACGGGGCCGGGCGGCTGCGACGGGGCCGGGCGGCGGCGACGGGGCCGGGCGGCAGGGACGGGGCCCGGGCAGGCCACAGCAGGGCCGGGCAGGGGCGACGGGGCCGGGCGGGCGAGCAGGGGCCGGGCAGGTGCGACAGGGGCCGGGCGGGCGCCACGCGGCCGATAGGCCGCGACGGGGCCGAGCAGGGGCGACGGGGCCGAGCAGGGGCGACGGGGCCGAGCAGGGGCGACGGGGATGGGTAGGGGCGCGACGGGGCCTGGAGGGGCGTTACCAAGCCCAGGTAGGGGCGCGACGGGGCCTGGGGGGAGCGCAATGGGGCCCAGGAGGGGCGCTACGGGGCCTGGGAGGAGCGCGACTGGGCTAGGGAGGGGCGCGACGGGGCCTGGAAGGAGCGCAATGGGGCCCAGGAGGGGCGCTACGGGGCCTGGGAGGAGCGCGACGGGGCCCTGGAGGGGCGCTACCAGGCCCTGGAAGGGGCGCGACGGGGCCTGGAGGGGCGCTACGAAGCCCTGAAAGGGGCGCGACGGGGCCTGGAGGGGCGCTACGAAGCCCTGGAAGGGGCGCGACGGGGCCTGGGAGGAGCGCAATGGGGCCCAGGAGGGGCGCTACGAGGCCTGGGAGGAGCGCGACGGGGCCCAGAAAGGGGCGCAACGGGGCCCAGGAAGGGGCGCGACGGGGCTAGGGAGGGTCGCGACGGGGCTAGGGAGGGTCGCGACGGGGCTAGGAGCACGACGGGGCCCAGCTAGGGGGCGAGCGGAAGCGTGAGGGGGGGGGGGGGGGGGGGGGGGGGGATCCTACCTACGCGTGATACCATATCAAACAGTGAAATTGATAAATAGAGAGAGAGAGAGTACACAAACATATACCTAACTGTTGTACTCTCTAGAAGATGACCCTATACAGTCTATACAAGCATGATAACTAAACATGTTTGACATCTAGTTCCGCTGTAATACCGGCACTTATGGAGGCTGATGCCCTGCGCTTACTGCATATCCGCTGTCCTGATGATACTCATTGATAATAACCTACAGCCACGACTGTGTTCGCATTGCCAGCGTACCGAAAGCCGCCCAAAACTTCCGCGAAATGGTGAATTCGTCGGCATCTACCAACATGACTCATGAGGAAAGGGCGGCATTACTTGATGAAGTCCGTCTCACTCACGAGTTGTACCAGCAGGAGTTGGCGCGTCTGCGAGCCGTAATGGCTTAAGCCGAATCGGAGATATCTACACTTTGGAGCCAAC